TTAGTTGGTCCCGCCGCATTCCACAGCCACATGATGTGGTCTGTTTTATGGTTGTATTGGTGGTTTCTAATTATTTCCTTAAATGAGGGAAGTTTATGGACTGATGGCTGAGATTCGTCATTTTATGGATACAGATCCCAAATTCTAGATATCTTGAGGTTTCAAACGGCCGTATTAGTTATCCAACTCGACGTCAGTTGTATGGCAACTGCGGCAGGCTTTAAATACATGGAGCACCGGGACCTAACGATACTAATCAAGATGAGTTGCTAGAAATGATGCATGCGGGGGATGCGGGGGATTTGAGAAAGAGCAGTATTCAGCGCCCTCACAGATGACAGCACGATAAATACATTTACTCCATACATGTACAATTCATGAACGAATTCTTGGCGACTTAGGGAACGTAAATATAACCGTCACAAACGGGAACAGGACAGCGTGTTCTGAAAAATGCACTGTGATGCGGAAAGTTTTAAGATGTGCTAGAGCTGCTCTCAACCGTGTTATTCCTTATGACTAGTTTATGAAATGGTGACCGCTTTGCGATATGACGTTGTCTTGAAGACATTCACTTTTATTCGAATCGCGCCGGCTCGAAACTTCATTCACAGACTACTTTGCTTGATTCTGAATCAAACGTCAAAATGTATCTCCGAATGGTTCAAATTACAGCTGGAAAGTTGACTTGTCCGAATCATCCTTCAGCTCCCAGTTACTTTCTGTCATAATCGATTTCATTTTTGCGGAGATGATTCAGGCACAAGTCCGATGGGGAGGTTAGATTATCTACCAATGCATGAGGCTGTTCAGATCCATGGCGCTTGAACGTCTAACGCCGATGGCACCGAGACCTAGCAACATGTATAAATTTCCACCAGCCGCATTTTCTGTTGGTAATGTGACGCAGCCCGAAGTTGTGCTTCATTAGCAATTCTAAATGCATTTATAACGTGGTCAACGTTTCGTTACATATCAGCAATGCTCATGAAAAATATCCATTATGATTGGTGGCGGTAGGCAAAGGCCCATTTTTGTTCTGATTCGCCGACGTAGATGAACGAAAGTAGGAGTGGGAAACACCACATCAAGTGCCTTCAGCAATGTCGCAAAAAATGGGCACAATATGGCGCTCTTTCGTATCGAAACAAAACGTCATTTATATGACTGGACAGTCACAGCTTCAGTGGCACTGGAATATTTTCACGGCTGATGGCCCCCAGCAGCGAAACCCAGCTGGATCAAAACTATATAATATATAAAAGGCTGGCGAATTGGCCTATTGGTTCTCTGGTTTGGTATGGATAACAGCATCATTGTTCTTGAAAACATGGGTATATGTGGCATGTCCCACTGATGTTCAGCCCACCTCTCTATTCCTCTAGCTACAACTCGAATCAATGGTGAGTGAATGCCTTGCATGAATTTAATCGCATGGATTTCTTGGCGTATACTGGACAATAGTAAGGGCAACAAAGGCGCATAATCTCCCACTTGGAAGCATACACACGCTCTACAACAGCTCGCTCAAGATATACGGAGTTTTCGCTCCGAGACGCGGCCACAACTCACTCCCCAATGCTTGACCTGCTCTCCAGAACCTGCAGCAGAGCACCATAAGTCCCCGACTCGTGTCGGGGCGTTGATCCGCCACGTTGTGCCTAGGGTGACAAATAAGGTTATCCTCATTCCATCGAAGCCGTGCATTAGAACATTATTTCGAAGATGGATTACGATCTGGTTTAAGGCTGAAAATTACTTCTTTGCAGTTTTTTCAATTTAAAAAATCCGCAGCTCATTCGTGTCATCCGTAGCCCATTTGAACCCACACCACTAACTGATAAAGACCGGGGTACGAAAATCCCCCCTGGTCGCAATGTCACACGGGCGCCTGGCACGCCGCGATGTCACAGGCTTTGTTCACATCCACTTAGCTCAAGCGTCCCTCGAAGCTGCGCTGTCCAAACACCGGCAGAGTTCGTCGTGAGGAAGACTATATTACAAACAATTAATGTGGCGATAACAATTGGTAATAAGAGAAGATCATTCATCGCCGACCTGGACCGGAGTCAGACCAGACCAGACCAAACCAGGCGCCGACCTCCATGCGCCCCTAAACATGGCGGGGTCCGGCTCGCACCAGGAGGTCGACCCGCCGGTTACACCCGGCTCGCATCAGGAGGTCGGTCCGCCGGTCACACCCGGCTCGCATCAGGAGGTCGGCTCGCCGATCACACCCGGCTCGCATCAGGAGGTCTGCTCGCCGATCACACCCGGCTCGCACCAGGATGTCAACCCGCCGGTCGCAACCGGCTCGCACCAGGAGGTCGACCCGCCGGTCGCACCCGCGGCCTCCTGCCATCCGCCGCCGTAACGTAATACCGCCAGCAGCTGGTGCGGTACTCACCTTCGTGACCGAGCGACAGTCAAAGTATTCGATGATTACAACATTTGGACGCTAGTGTACCAGGTAAAGATGACCGACCCCGCTCATCCGCAACTACGCGTCATGCCGTGCGTCGTGGTTTGATCCGGAGTGTTCAGAACACTCGGCGCTACCACAGGATTTCGTCAGAATGAGCCCTGCCCCGCAGTGGCAAGCGCGCAAGACGCCCCGAGCCGTGTAAGCCGCACAGCAACGCGAGACGCCCCGAGCCGTGCAGGTCGCACAGCAACGCGAGACGCCCCGAGCCGTGCAGGCCGCACAGCAACACGAGACGTCCCGAGCCGTGCAGGTCGCACAGCAACGTGAGACGCCTCGAGCCGTGCAGGTCGCACAGCAACGCGAGACGCCTCGAGCCGTGCAAGCCGCACAGCAACACGAGACGTCCCGAGCCGTGCGGGCCGCACAGCAACACAGGACGCCCCGAGCCGTGCAGGCCGCACAGCAACGCGAGACGTCCCGGGCCGTGCAGGTCGCACAGCAACGCGAGACGCCGCGAGCCGTGCAGGCCGCACAGCAACGCAAGACGCCCCGAGCCGTGCGAGCCGCACAGCAACGCGAGACGTCCCGGGCCGTGCAGGTCGCACAGCAACGCGAGACGCCTCCAGCCGTGCGGGCCGCACAGCAACGCGAGACGGGAAGTTTTGATCTGCGCTTTGGCAAGCTTTGCTTCCGAACTAGCACGGCCGTCAGTGGTCACAACATGACGCAGGCCAGATATTGATGGCGTCCGACACCGATCCAATAGGAGAAAGTAGCTCATGCGATGATAAACGACTCTCTCCCGTTCACGCTCTCCCTCTCTCTCTCTCTCTCTCTCTCTCTCTCTCTCTCTCACCATCTCTCTCTCCCGCGTGATGTGAGGTGCACTGTACAGAGGAGTTGGGGGTCGGCCGTCGGTCGATTGGCGGCACACTAGACCGGCGCCAGAGGCCGTGCCAGGCGGGCCTCCTCCGGGCCGCTCGTCCGGAGGCCGGGCTGGCCAATCTCGCTCGCCACCTCCGGGGCCCCGCCGAGCCCGAGATCGAGTTACGTGTCGCCAAATTCGACCCACGCTCCCAAGTGTTTGGCCCACTTCCATCCCGCCGGCGAAATTTTGTTATTTTGCAGTTGCATAGGCATTTTTACTCGCCGTATATCCGCATGGGTGTAAAGCCCATAGCTGGAGGGCGGTTCGTAGCATGAACTCAACAGGGGGCACGGTTCCTTTCGACGTTTGGTTTTGAGAGCTTTGCGTGTAGGCGCGCTTATCATGTGATCGTGCAAACATGCGGGTTGTGCTTACGTTAGCGGACGTGGTATATGACTTTCCCGAACTTAAAGTTAGCTGTAAAGATATCGATAAAATAAAAATGTACCCTGATAAAGCGCACATAAAAACGAATCGCACGGTGAGTAAAATGCAAAAATTGTTGACAACGCACTTCTCTGCGCACGCTGACCGTACAGCCATCACGTTTGAGCGTTACATGTCACAAGGGTGAGCCACTTTCATAATGAACGAAGGCCACTGTGAAATGAAATACAGGCGTGAGATGAATAATCCGGCTCGGTTTTTCAGTAACTCGTCATCTTTTAGATAACTCATCTAAATGCCTGCAATAAAAAAAGCTCGTATCTGAAGTAGCATCAACTTCGTGTTACCTACACTATTCTGTCTCCTCACTTGCATTTTTAGAGCACGTGGGCTGGAGAAAAGGCAAGGAAGGGCAGTGTGGAGACGTGGCAACTATAGTTCCGTCGAATTTCTACTAACGTGCGAATGATGAATAACTGATAAAACTCCCGCGCATCAGTGTCATTCTGGCCCTCATACAAAACGATACAGTTGCGAAACCATCCTTACATGCTCGATTTAGTCGCATGCTACTACATAGCCGAAAAACTGATTCGGTGCTGAATTTTTGCGCTCAGCCCTTCGAGCTAGCGCCAGGCCTCGCGACGGCCATGCGTGACCCAATACGTAAATTTGACGTGGCCATGCTTTCAAGACTCACCGAGCTCCCATCCGCATAACTCGCGCCCGCATGCAGCCGTTGAGTCCTACCCAGATCCGCAACGCATCGTATATCGGCATTATTTTCTCTTCCCCTATCATCCTTTTTCATTTACTGTTTCATTTGCCGCCAGGCCTCGCCACCTCGGGCGTGCCGTTCTCTCCCTCTGCTGCCGCCCTGCCCGTGCCCGCTAGTGTGCGCCCACTCTTTCTCTCTCACTCTCTCTCACTCTCGCCCTCTCATTCAGAGGCTCGGAATCGATCCGGGCCGCTGTGCCGGCGACGAAAGCCAGGCCGGTCCACAACAATGCGCGGCGCGCGGCCAAACTGGACGCGCCGACCGAGCGGCGCTAGCACCACCGCCGCCGCCGCCACCGAGCCGCCCTCGCTGCCTCTCCTTGAGCCGACATGGGTATCACTTGAGTTGCTGTATCACTGGTAGCGTGGACCGCTGCGCCACTGTACGTCCACACACGCGTGCCGACGCTGGCGCTGCCCAGCGGCGCGGCCGTCCGGGGCTGCGCCACGCGTGACGAGCGGCGCCGGGTCCGCGCGGCGTCGCTACACCGAGACGCGCTTGCCGAGGCTGTGGGCATCACCCTCCGAGTCGGCCAGGATCTCCTCGGCCGTCTGCGTGTGGCTGAGCGTCTCCAGGGCGATACTGTGCGGCAGCAGGTGCGAGATGCGGCCCGGGCGCCGCTTCATCACCGTGTACCTGGGGACGCACGCCGGACACGCGGTCACTGGACAGCAGGCGCGGCGGCCGGCCGGCATCGCTCCAGCCAGCACCGCTGACCTCATGCGCGGCACTGAGGGAACGGGGGAGTGGTCTGGAGCTCGGGCTCACACGTCAAGGGTCCGGGCTCCAGCCATGGCCGCGCCATTGCGCTTATGTGAGCACGGCAGTGGTTCCTCCCGTGTCACAAAACAACCCGTCTTATGTGAGCACGGCAGTGGTTCCTCCCGTACCACAAAACAACCCGTTTTATGTGAGCACGGCAGTGGTTCCTCCCGTGCCACACAACAACCCGTCTTATGTGAGCACGGCAGTGGCTCCTCCCGTGCCACAAAACATCCCGTCTTATGTGAACACGGCAGTGGTTCCTCCCGCGCCACAAAACAACCCGTTTTATGTGAGCACGGCAGTGGTTCCTCCCGTACCACAAAACAACCCGTATTATGTGAGCACGGTAGTGGTTCCTCCCGTGCCACAAAACATCCCGTCTTATGTGAGCACGGCAGTGGTTCGTCCCGTGTCACACAACAACCCGTCTTATGTGAGCACGGCAGTGGTTCCTCCCGTGCCACACAACAACCCGTCTTATGTGAACACGGCAGTGGTTCCTCCCGTGTCACACAACAACCCGTCCATAGACAACCGCATATACTTCTCTTCAGTCACAAATAGTGTAAGCTCTCCCTTCAAAAAATGATCGCCTAGACCATCTAGAATCTGATGAATGATCAGCACGGGAGGAATGCATCGGACCGCCGGCGGCGGCGGCGGCGGCGGCAGACGGCCGGGACCGCCGGCGGCGGCGGGTCGGGCCGGGACCGCCGGCGGCGGCGGGTCGGGCCGGGACCCGCCGGCGGCGGCGCCGGCGCCACTCGGCCGCGGACCGTGTCCAGCGGCCGTCCCAATGAGCCGCTGATGGCGGCCAGCGGACATGCCGCCGTCACGCCCAGCAGACGCTGATGAGCCGTGAGGAATCCTCCGGACGGGCGACGGGGGCTGGCGCAACAGGGGCCGCCCGGCCGCCAGCAGACTCCAGACAGGAGCATACAGTTCGACGGGGCCCCTCCGCCTGCGGCAGCAGGCGGAGGGCCTTCTCCCAGATGCCTAAACTCCAGCGTCATATCTCCAGCAACCACCAGCCCAGCCGGGGTTTATTATTATTATTATTATATTATTATTATTATTATATTATTATTATTATATTATATTATTATTATCATTATTATTATTAGTATTGCGAAACTTGGCGAAATCTAGCGAGTGGCTATTCAAGCGCCCCGTCGGTACATATCACATAAATAAACACAGAACACGTAACACTTGCAAATGGGACGCAACGCCAGCGACACATATACGATCTTACAAAACATGAGCGACTAATGATACAACCAGCACATGCACGTCATGGCCAGTTTTCCCCTCAGACCACACCAGTCCAGCCGGGCTCTCCCCTCAGACCACACCATTCCAGCCGGGCTCTCCCTTCAGACCACACCATTCCAGCCAGGCTCTCCCCTCAGACCACACCATTCCAGCCGGGCTCTCCTCTCAGACCACACCAGTCCAGCCGGGCTCCACCGTCCAGCTGTACCAGCAGTTCCGTCTCAATGGCCCGCTCTGACTCAGTTTGATAATTTGATGTGGCCGAACTGAATCGATCGCACGGTATCCACTTCTGAGCCCCATTGAACGCAGCCCCTCTTGCTGCTTGCGCCTGAGCCTATGCGAGATTGAGCAGCTGGCGAGTGGGGAGTGGAATGCAGAACTAAAGACAAGCCAGCGTTGTGGTGGGTTCTCGCGCTTGCTGGCTGTGCAGCCGGAAGAGCTGGCCACATGAGTGTGAGGTGAAGGACGCGAGAAGCACTCCTTGACCCCAGACCCTGCTAGCAATCGAAAATGGTTCTGTTCTTACCTCGAATACCATCTTCAGGCTATTTGCACAGTCACAGGCGTGGTAACCGAGATGTTTCTGGAAACGCGATCAATCCAATCGGAGTTTGGAGCACCCTGGACCTCCTTTTTCGAATTTTGCCGACTTATGTCTTCACTCTCTGAAGACGCGCACGTGGCACAGCATCCGAACGATATCGATTGTTGGAACCTGGCAAACAAACTTTTCCACAGCTCTTGCTATTGTGGAACAGACTTCCGTCTCTCGGGACGTCCGTGGCCTGGCTAAAATAGCCCCAGGGAAGGAGGGGTGAGGGACACGTCGGATCAGAGGTACCAAGTAATCAGGGTGGGGGGCCTATACGGCAAAAAATATGTCATGCCGGTTGAATCATTATTGATGCGAAGGATGAGTCATGTCTTACCATCCCAGGCAATCAAGTACTGCGGTTTCTAATGCAGAGTGAGAGCGCTAGGACTAATGTAAGAACTTGGTATGGCCCATAGTATGGTGTTGATGATATGCTTTGATGATTGAGCTTCTTTGTGTGATCTACAGGCCCCTTTCCATCATTTGGATTTTTAAAGTTTTTTCGACCCTACTTTGCAGGTTTCTGGGGCGTGGTGGCACGTTGGAGGTTGTACTTATCGGGCGTGGGGGCACGTTGGAGGTTGTATTTCTGGGGTGTGGGGCACGTTGGAGGTTGTATTTCTGGGACGTGAAGGCACGTTGGAGGTTGTATTTCTGGGACGTGAAGGCACGTTGGAGGTTGTATTTCTGGGGTGTGGGGGCACGTTGGAGGTTGTATTTTCGGGACGTGAAGGCACGTTGTAGGTTGTATTTCTGGGACGTGGGGGCACGTTGGAGGTTGTATTTCTGGGGTGTGGGGGCACGTTGGAGGTTGTATTTCTGGGGTGTGGGGGCACGTTGGAAGTTGTATTTCTGGGACGTGAAGGCACGTTGGAGGTTGTATTTCCGGGACGTGAAGGCACGTTGGAGGTTGTATTTCTGGGGTGTGGGGGCACGTTGGAGGTTGTATTTCCGGGACGTGAAGGCACGTTGGAGGTTGTATTTCTGGGACGTGGGGGCACGTTGGAGGTTGTAGTTCTGGGGCGTGGGGGCACGTTGGAGGTTGTTTTTCTGGGACGTGGAGGCACGTTGGAGGTTGTATTTTGTTTAGACCGCTGCACTTGTCCCGTTATGCTGTAATGCCCTTGGCTCCCTGGTGTCCCTGCGACGTCATCAGCGGCTTGTTTCACACCATGGGTCCGGGTACGCATTTCCGGGTCTCACCTTACATCACATAGCTGGGACAGTGCTGTCCAGAAGAGACGTTTTCGTCGAGTGCTGTTTCTGAGGCCTAAATCAGCTTTGTTTTCTTCACTTACCAGTGTCCTTTTTTAAGGCTCCGTCCGAACGTTTACTGCATAACTAACCCGTCGGGGCCTCGTCCTTCGGCGTGTCCCTCTGGCGTCGGGGCCCTCGTCCTTCGGCGTGCCCCTCTGGCGTCGGGGCCTCGTCCTTCGGCGTACCCCTCTGGCGTCGGGGCGTCGTTCTCCGGCGTGCCCCTTCGGCGTCGGGGCCTCGTCCTTCGGCATGCCCCTCTGGCGTCGGGGCCTCGTCCTTCGGCGTGCCCCTCTGGCGTCGGGGCCTCTTCCTTCGGCGTACCCCTCTGGCGTCGGGGCCTCGTCCTTCGGCGTACCCCTCTGGCGTCGGGGCGTCGTTCTCCGGCGTGCCCCTCTGGCGTCGGGGCCTCGTCCTTCGGCGTGCCCCTCTGGCGTCGGGGCCTCGTTCTTCAGCGTGCCCCTCTGGCGTCGGGGCCTCGTTCTTCAGCGTGCCCCTCTGGCGTCGGGGCCTCGTTCTTCAGCGTGCCCCTCTGGCGTCGGGGCCTCGTTCTTCGGCGTGTCCGTGACCGCCCACGGTGGGAATCTGGTCCATGCGCTTCGCCAAGCTAGCCATGTCACCGCACGCCACTGCACTTATAAGGCGAAACTGATCGCTTTGAACTCTTGCCAAAATTGTGACATGAGCAGGATTGCTTCTTAGGCAAGAACATTGCGCGAGGGTGCGGTGGAAGAATCTTTGCTTTATTTTCCACAGGAGTTTTGCCATATACTCTCACGTTTCTGTCGTTGTTAACAACTAGTATGATATCCTAGCCGACCAGGCCTACGCACGTCATGGTATACTTTATTTTTAGACTATTCCTGCAAATACCTTACTATCTCGCACGTACCGTACCGTTGAGGAATTGCTGGCTTTGTTCCTGGAAAAAAATGCGCAGTACCAAAAACATTAAACAGCACAGAACATAAAAACGTTGAAATTATGCATCATGCCTGGAGGGTTTGTTGTGTTCTGTTTATTCTGTTGTTCTGGGGGGCCTGGAGGGAGGTTTGTTCATAGATCAGACGTGCAAATTAAACTTGGCTGACTCACTGCCCGCCAGCCGCACGGACCCCGCCACCCCTCTTCAAAACGTCGCATTACCAGGGATGAGGGAGCCACTGTCTTTCGCCTCTCAGCTCCAGGCTGGCTGTGGACTCCGTTTTCAGAGCACTCATCAGAACACTGATAAAGTTCTTCCGCGCGTGATAACTGATGACGGGAGTTGGGTTCGCTTGCAGTCATCTCGTTCGCTTGCAGACTTATCTTCCTTTTGATCTACGCATCAGAACGTCGGCTTATTTTAAACTGGCGGCAAGGTTCATGAGGTCATGAAACTTAGTTGTGTACGTGTGAATGCAGTTCATTTTTGTGTGTGGTGTGCTGAAAGTAGCCTTAAGAATGTCTTAGCACCTCCAAACTTTGTCGCAACACTGTGCAGGTGTTGTTGTTGCCTTTACTAATCATTATCGGGGAGCGTTTTAAATCTTACATGACTAATAAATAAAAACTCTATCGTCTGGCCTCAAACAACACTGGAGTTGTCGGTGACAGATAGCGAAACCTTGTTATGTTCTGCCTCAGAGTGGCGAGAGGGAGCTCTGCGTGACACTGCGGTCCAAGTCGGACCTCTGCGCGAGGTCCTACATCGGAGAACCATAGCCTGCCCCATAGCCTGACCGGGGTTGGCTGGGCTGGGCCG